AATTTTCAAGGTAGTAGACCAGGAAGGCACCTGATCCTCAATAATAAATTTGTTTTTGGGTCCTCAATTGTGAAAAGTTTTTTCCACTGGAAAAAATTGTTCATGGAATCTTCCTTTACTTAGGAAGCCATGGAAGCTGAGGAGCTGAGGAAGAAGCTGAAAGCTTGGGGCTTCTCTTGAGCTGAAGATCTGAGGCTGCAAAGCAAAAGGATTACTGAGAACAAGAGAACAATTACAAAGCACCTGAGAAAGGAAGCTGAATACAATCTATGAAAGGAAAATGAATACTACAATCAATTACAAAAGATCCCTCACCAGGAATCCAGATTTGTTTTGGTGATAGTTTATTATAGAGGACCCCCTGTTTGTTTGAGGGGAGGGGGGGGGCCCTATTTACTAATCAGGCGCCAACATTATATATTATATATACTTTTCAATTAGACATGCCGCTGTCAGGCATATGCTACGATCCTTTCGCAATTCTAACGCCCTCAGAGGCTCGCAAGTCGAATGGTCACAGAACCCCCCCATGCCTTGAACTGATGGGCAGTGCTTTTGGCTGGTCATCATTGGTTACAAGAGCCAGAAAACCCCGATGAATCCCCAACAAGGATGCTTTGGGGGTGAAGCACCTGTAAAACCATGGCATCTGTCAGGAAACCTGCAAAACCCTGATGCCAGACCTCCTGACAAGCAAAAGATGACCATACAGCTGGTGCGTTTTTTTTGCAGTCCATAGCAGCATAGCAGTGAAATCCTTATCACTTCTGGTGGTGATTGAGTTTTTTTGTTCTTTCTACGCGCCCTGGATTGACTTCTGGATCTTGTGAATGGGAGGTAGCGATGGCCATCCGCTCCTTTCCTGCCCTCAAGTTTGAGGACCACAGATTTTGGTGGCAGCAGCAGCTAAGGGAACACGGAGCGAAGTTGTAAATGGAGGTTTCAAGAGATGAACTGAGGGTAGAAGTAGATACTACTGTAATGCTTTGAGAGGCTGAGTCTCACTTTGCTTGCGACGTATATTTACATATGAATCATGGAATCATATGGAACATTCCAACACAGTGCTTTGCTCTAGTTTCCCAAGCAGCTCGCTCATTTATTTGCAGGAGCCTCACCTCTTGCTGCGTATGCTGCACTCCTTGTCCCCAAATGCCAGGCACACTCCAGGGGGGGTAGGGGGAGCTAGGGGAACTAGGTAGCTTGGCAATGAGGTAAGTAGTATATATATATACTAGTAGCTGGACGGAAAAGTGCAAAAGAACCTTGCGCATAGTTAGTGAAACATGTTTGTTGACCTTATTGAAATTCAGCGTGTGAGAGGTTCCTAAATTTGTGCAGAGCTTTTCTTGTGTTGCAACAGCCTGCAGTCCCCTGCTGATGATTGCAGGCAGGCGACTGTTGGAAACAGTCTACAAGTGCTTTCTGTCGTTGATGGTTAAATTGTGAGGCGATAACTTTGCCGTGACAATGAAACAAGTATGACAAAGTCCTTAGCAAAGCATCAACCCGACCCGTCCGTCTTCCATCAGTCTTATTCCGTTGCAACCAACGCTCAGTGGTTCAATACAGGTCTCCATGGTTTCCTTCCATGGGTAGGTCTCCGTAGCCTTCAAGTCGGATGAATCTCCATGTTGGAACTGTCGCTGACCTGACAAATGTTTGACAGCTTGGGTTGAACTTCCATGGAGAGGCACTTCCGATGCTCAGGACTGTGCCACAAGTGAAGCTTCCACATGAACAGTGCGAGCGCTTCTTTCGATTCTTATTTTTCCTTTGTATCTGACAATTCAGAGCAAGCATTTTGATGCATCCATGTTCGTGGTTCCAGGATCCGCGAGCCATTTGTTTCCTTCGCGCTCACCTCGGTGTGCGGAAAACCGTGTTCGACCGTGCGCAGCGCATGGCCTTGTTAAGTTGGCACCGGAGCTAGGTTCTGGGCTGACCTTCGAGATCTTCGACTATGCCTGTCGCCCGACAGGTCTTTGACCTTGCTGCTGATGACACAGAGGATGGCTCTGAGCTGCATGATGGTTGGGATGACCTCGACCCGATCGGTGCGGCGCCCTCTGAGTCAGGTTGGTCAGAACCCAGACACTCGATCCAGGTTGAGCATGAGCCCGAGCTTAGCGCTGCCCACGAGGCCCCTAGCTTGTCGACTTCACCCGCTCCTTGGCGATGTTCGGTCTGTGATTTTGACCGCTACCACATGGTTGGCTCCACTTGGACTTGCAGCCGATGCTCTTCGACCGACTTCTACCTGGCCACGAGGCCCACCAAAAGGGTCACCAGCAGCGGCACTTGGATGTTCGTCCCTCACGAGACTGGTGGTTCTGAGCCTCTTGAACCTCCGGCTCAAGCTACACGTCGCCGGAAGAAGAAGAAAAGAGTGACCACTGGACCTCCGAGCGGACCACCGAGCTCGACCGCAGAAGCTGATGAGTGGCCGGAGTCACAAACGCCGACGGTTGACCCAGTTGTTGAACCTGGACCTGTTCACCCTCATCCTAAGGTCCAACCAGGTCCTCGGCTACCAAGAGCACGACCTCAACCAGACCATGGAGCTACAGCCCCTACACCCCATGACAACATCCGGAACGATGTGAACACTGTCGACGCCTTTGCCGGGACCAGCCCTCAGACGGCAATGAGACAGACCTCGGACAGTTCCACGACATGGAATTCCCGGAAGGGACCTGAGCCTGGCATCAAATGGAAGTCGGGCCAGTATCCTGCTGTCCCGACATGGAAGTACGACAGTCAGGACACGCGTGCCTTCGCAAAGTACAAGAAAAGATAGCAATCTGGCAGCTTCAAATGAAGGCCTACGCCCCGCCGAAAGAGCAGGCCCTGTTGGTCTACAACTCCCTCACGGGAGAACCTGAACAAGAATTGGAACACATGGCCATCGATGACTTCTATGTGGAGGACGGAGTCCAGCGAATTCTCCAAAAGCTGCAGCGACCTTTTGAACAACGTGTCATTTACCAAAAGAGGAGATTTTTGCAGGACTTCGAACAGATTCGCCGCTACCAAGGCGAAACGATGAGGGCCTATGTGCTTCGCTTTCGGCGGGTGCAACGCTCGCTGACAGCTGTTGGAGTGAATTTGGAGGCCACGTTTGATGGAGAAGCATTCGGGTCAAGATTGTTGGACCGTTCAGGCCTTTCCCATGCTGATCAACGCCTCATACTGGTGGGCACGCAACAAAGCCTGGACTTTGAGGCCATTGCTGAATGCCTCACACTTCAGTGGCCAGAGTTCAGAGCTCCTCCACCAGTCGTGAACAAAGACGGCAAAGCCTTGGGCAAAAGTGGGAAGAACAACATGAGCACTTCATCCTCCTCGAGCTCTACTTCATTCACCTCCTCTTCACAGACTTCCAAAGGAAGCGGAAAGGGGATTCCTCGGCGACAAGCCTTTGTCGCGAACGCGACTGAGGCACCACCTGAGGACGATGATGAGTTTCTCGAGGTGATTGACGAGGAGCCCGAGCAGGAAGAAGAAGGCCATGAAGGCCATGATGAGACGGCAGATGCCGGAGAAGCAGATGCTGACGGCCAAGAGGCCGACCTTTCGGAGATCGCGGACATCCTCACCGTGACGGCTCGCAAGCTCTGTGGAGTGACGCTTGGGAGGAAGTTCACCACCTCCAACCCATCGAAGAAGACACGGCTTCCTCCAGAAGAGCTCAAGAAGGTTACTCACTGTTCCGCCTGCGGCGGATTGGGCCATTGGGCCGGTGATGCACAGTGCCCACATGGTGCAAAAAGCACCAAAGGTGGATCCAAGGGGAAGACCCCGTTCGTTCATGACAAGAGCAACAGCCAAAAGGGTTCCTCCTCCTCGTACCGCGTCAGCATGGTTCATCATGATGGAGGCCTTGACATTGTTGAGGACACCCCTGAGGATTCACATGAGTATGGCACGATGTTCACCATCAGCATGATTGGTTTTGAGTCCACAATCACCGTTCATGAAGTTCAGTGTACCCCCAAGGTTTTTGAGGGCATGATGATCATCGATTCGGCATGCCAACGGAACTGCTGCGGTCAAGAATGGTTTGATCACCACGTCGAATACCTCAAGAACTATGACATGGTTCCCAAGATCGTTGATTGCCACGAGACCTACCAGTTCGGCAAGGGATCCCCAACGATAGCAACAAAGAAGGCCTACATCCCTTGCGTTATTGGTGGACAACCCCTTCTACTAGGTGTGGCAATCCTCCCAGAGAAGATCCCCTTTCTTGGCAGCAACAGCTTGTTGGACATTTTGCAAACCAACCTCCGATTGCCGGTTCGACGAGTCGAGTTCGAGCTTTTGAACATTGCAGTTGATCTTTTTCAAGTTGGAGGTCATTTTGCTATCAAGTTGTTTGATTGTGATCGTTCACAAGCACCTCATCGATGGCATGTTTGGAAGTTGTTTTCTCAGCCGCATGTTTGGAAGTCACCACATCCTGAGCTTCTCATTCCACCGCTTCAGATGAGTGCCCAAGCATCTCGCAATTCGCTGCGTAAGCCCTGGGACGATGAGACGTGCACCGCCCCCATGGCTGGTGGCCTGGAAGCGAATGGTGCTCGCCATGTACGGCTTTGTCTCCAACCTGATCACCTACACGACCAAGGCGGCAAGACTCCATTTGGTTCCACGGGATTTCCTTTGGAGGGCATTCCCACCTTACGACGCTCTTCAAGCTCCAGTCCCCTTGCCGAAGGACTGCGACCATGCCAAAGTGAAGCGTCATGGCAACGCTCACGGACGGTTTGCAACCTGCCTCACATGCCACATGAAGTGGCGATGGAACGCAGCCGTCGAGAAGTGGGAAACAAAGGTCTCATCGCCAAGCTCCTCTACGCCATTGCAGCCATTGCCGGCACCATCCTCAGCAACGATCCTCAAGGATTCAGAAGCGGCGATGTTGAGCAAAGGAGCCAAAGCGAAGCCAAAGCCGACGAAGCGGCCGGGCTATGCCAAGACTATTTCATCGGCGAGCTCTACGACAAGCACCTCCCAGAGGTTCTGGACGGACTTCAGCACATGGGAACTGAAGACGGAACACCTGCCGGCGGAACTTCAACACGAGGTATGGCAGATCTGCGAACAAGCTTCACCTCTGGACGCCGAGCCCGCCAACATGACGGAGTACATGTTCCTGAACGAGCTCAGCTTCGAGGCTCAGCGCACCTCAATGGAGAAGACGGCAGATCAGCGCCGACACCACCGCCTCATGGAGCTCGGAGTGATCCCACATCAGGAAATCCACCTGGACGACGAGGACGAGACCTTCGACTGAGAGGCATGTGGAAAAGGAGCTATGAGGTCCTCGAGATGGAGCGCAAGACCTATCTGGTTGGCAAGACCGTGGCAGATCGACCTCCTCCATATGTTGATTTGCTTGAGCTGTTTGCAGGCACCGCCACGATGTCTTCATTGGCCCATCACTATGACCTCATCGCCATGGAGCCCCAGGACTTGCTCTATGGCCAGAACTTCAAGGACCGTGCAACCAGAGACCGGATCTTCCAGATGATCAAGACCTATAAGCCCTGGCTGGTGCCCATGGGCGTTGATTGCCGGCTCTGGAACCACTTCTCCAAGAACATGAATTGGAGCTCTTCAGATCGGCTGGCACTCCTCGAAGAGCTTCGTGAAGAGGAACGGGAACTTCCCCGTTTTGCGACAAAGGTGGCAAGAGAACAGTTGGCCAATGGTCGATACTTCCTCATCGAGAACCCTCTTAGGTCTGATCTCTGGACCCTCGATGAGATTCAAGCTTTGATGCAAGAGCCTGGCGTATGGTCTACGACCTTGGATGCTGGAGCCTTTGGCGCCGAGATAGATGGCGACCCCATCATCAAGACCATGCGATGGATTGGCAATCAACCTGGCTTGCATGAGGCCTTGCGTCGACGTCTTTCACCCTTGGAGCGTCAATACTGCAAGCCCATTGAGGGCTCAATGACGAAACCATCACAGGCTTATCCAGACCTTCTGCGCCGCACCATCTTGCAAGAGCTTCGTGGATTGGTTGCGCAACATGAACCACATCGGTTTGGGCCACCACTTCATCAAGTTATGGCAGTTTCACAGCCAACGACTGATCTCTCCCAATGGGACAAGCTCACCGAGTACATCACCAACTCCTTTGAGCGGTCAGCAAAACGACCATACTATGTGGATGTCAAGTCCGACATGGGCAAAGAGATTTCCAACCTCCTCAGGATGGACCTAGACAAGATTCATGTCGTCTATGCACCAACCACGAGGAGAACACCTGTGAACACGGTCGCGACCGGCTGGTCGACTCGAGCTGCCTACCTGTCTCATGCAGACGGTACACGGGCCATTGAGATCGAAGATGTTGGTGACATTGTCTTTCCAAGGCAGCGGTTCTCGAAGCCAGTCACGTTTGCAATATTTGCTTTTGGCCACCGCTGGAGTGTACCTGAGGCAGCAACAGATCCTTCTTCATCCACGACGGCCATTCCTGGACTTGTGACGGACATCAGCTTCCCAGGAGCCAAAGAAGTGACACAGGATGTCAAGCGAGCCATTGCCAGGCTCCACATCAATCTTGGACATCCAACAGCTCAAGAACTCACCCGCCTGTTGGCATATCAGGGCAAGATCAGCGCATCCATCATCAAGACAGTTCAACACCTGGAATGCGCCACATGTGAACGACTACGACTTCCACAGCATCCTCGGCCGGCAGCGATGCCACGCATGCAAGCTGGACAGTTCAATGATGAAGTTCAAATGGACTTTTTCTTTGGAAGGACTCTCAACAGCACCACCTTCGGCGTCCTTGGCATTGTGGACAGAGCAACTGGCTTGCGTCAGGCTGTGTTGATGGATGATCGAACCTCCGAGAACATGTTCACCCTGTTTGAGGAGGCATGGCTTCGACCGTATGGCATCCCTGTTCGAGTTCGCTGTGACCCTGACACCAGCTTCAAGGGGTTCTTTGAGAGGAAGCTACAAAGCTTGGGATGCACAGTTGAACATTGTCCACCTGAAGCTCACCACGTCATCGGCATGGTGGAACGTCGCAACGCAGTTCTGAGGCTGACGCTGGAAAAGGTCATTGACCACATGGGAGTTGTGGACAAGCGTGATGTCAAGACAGCCCTCACTGCGACCGTCCATGCCATGAACAACATGTGCTTTTCACGAGGCCGGACGGCCTACCAAGCCGTGTTTGGTCGCCAACCTCGACTACCAGACAATGTCTTGGAAGATGAAACTGTGCTTGCCTCTTCCTCACAGGTCTACAACCCTGTGGACGAGGAGACAGACAACCCGGCACTACGTGCTGAGATGGCTCGTTGCGAGGCCATCAAATGCCTGGCTGACATGAATGCCAGTCAGTCTTTGCGAAGGGCACTTTTGAGGAAGACTCGCATCACGAAGGTTCCGGACGTGATGCCTGGGCAGAGAGTGGCAATATGGAGATGGCAGAAACGTGGAGCAAAGAAGCGAGGTGCTTGGACTATGTGCAGGTTCCTCTCGTGGGATCCAAGTCACCCTGGACGGCAAGCTTGGGTTCGGTTGGGCTCCACTACTGTCCTGACCACTGCGGAGCAGATGAGGACCGCCTTTGGCTTTGAGCAGTGGACTCCAGATGAAGAAGATATAGCGGCCCTAAAGAATGCCACGACCCAGTTTCAAGAGAGCCTCCTCGACGACCAACGTGGACCACCTCCAAAGGAGATCGACGAACTCCCAGCGGTTGACGAGATTGCTGAGGCTTCAACACAAACACCTGTGATGACAGCTCTCCCATCGGCAGCTGCAGCACCTGCAACGCCTGAGATCGAGCAGATTCCACCAAGGACTGTCACAGTCAATGTTGACAGCCCCACAAACATATACAAGCAGAAGCACACAGCAGTCAATGTCTACCAGCGCTTTGAACACGTACCACATACACCACCAGTACAACGGAAGGGTCGCTCTCGGACACCACCATCCCGAGGGCTACATGCACACTCCTTCCAACCGTTTCACCCTCCGGAGCAGGCACTCGCTCCGATGACACCAGGGGACAAAACATTGACCCTTGGCGCACCTTTGGCACTACCACCACACTCTGAGGCCTTGCGCACTGAACCAGCATCTCTTCATGAAGTACAACCTCACGAAGAACAAGGCGCAACAGAGGTGATGGAAGCACCGCACACAGAGACTGAGCAACAGTCCCACACAGAACAACTGGTTCCACCACCAGTACCTGAGCACACAGAAGCACAACAGATGCAAGAAGCAGAGCAACAAGCAGTTGAACAAACAACAGCGTCCGCGGCAGATGAACAACCACTGGCACCAGCAACGGATGAGACAACACTGCCTACCTTGCCGCAGAAACGACCTTTTGACTCACTGCGCACGACACTGTGGTCCGAGGAAGACGGCGCAATCACACGGGCACCGTCAGGATGGGATGGCTCACCCCCACTCCTTTCCTATGGACCAGCATCACAACAGTGCTTCAAAGCATATGCAGCCACACACCAACGACAAAAGGACGCAGCAACAATAGACAAAGATCCCAATGAGTCAGACAGCGCCCAGGGATCAAGTGATGAAGACAACACCACAAGCAAAGCACACCAGCAGAAGACCATGACTCGACAGGAGTCCAAGCAGATGGATCGAGAGATCCCTTGGCGACAGATTCTTCAACTTCCACCGGCCATGATCGACAAGTACCTTGCGGCCATTGACAAAGAGGCCCTGTCTTGGGAAGAGTGGCGATCCATCCGTCCGCTCACACGGGAGGAAGCCTTGGCAGTCTACAAGGACAAGATGCTTCGACATCGCATCATGAGATCCCGTGCCCTCTACCGGGACAAGAACTGTGGCCAAGGTGAGTTGAAGGCCAAGTGCAGAGTGGTTTGTCTGGGCCACCAAGACCCTGATCTCCAGCAGATCACAAGAAGCTCACCAACTCCAGGAAGAGTCACAGAGATGGTTCTCTACTGCCTCATCGTGGCTGGTCACAACCGCGAGCTCTTTGACACCGACCACGAATGGATGTCTTGGTCAGGAGACGCTGCAACGGCATTCCTCCAAGGCAAACAGGAGGACAGTGAACGACCAGCTCCACTATACATGAAGGCTCCAGCTGATGGCTTGATCGCCATGACCTCCCGATGGAAGTGCGAGCTCTACCAGATCCTGGGCAATGTCTACGGCCTAGCGAATGCTCCAGCTCTCTGGACAGGTGAAGTCTCCAAGAGATTGTTGGGCCTGGGCTACACCAGACATGTCTTCGACCAGATGCTCTTCTACCTGGTCAATGAGGCTGATCAGATTGTCAGCCTGGTGATGATTTATGTGGATGATGTTTTGGGTCTCCACAGAAAAGACCATGACATCTCGGCACTGCAGAGCCTCTTCAAGTGGGGCGAGATCCACACCTTCAGCCCCGACAGCAAGATCACCTTCAAAGGCAAGACCTTGGAGCTGAAGAAGAATGAAGCTGGGCGATATGTCATGGACATCACGATGGAGAAGTTCGTCCAAGGCCTTTCGCCTGGAGTCATCCCTAAGGGTCGGCTTCAAGAAGATGAGCTGCTGTCACCAGCTGAGTTTCAGGAGTTCCGGTCAGTATCCGGTTGCTTGCAGTGGGCTGCAACTCAAGCTCGACCTGAGGTCGCACCAGCACTGAGCTTGGCAAATCATGGAGCACTCACAACCATCCATGATCTCCGCAGCCTCTATGAATCCCTCTCCTACCTCAAGGAGACGCCCTCTGACGACATAAGGATTCAGGACGTGGCTGTGGGCAAAGCAACGTGGGTCCTCACGTTCACGGATGCCTCATGGGCTAACGCCCAAAGAAGTGGAAGCCAGATCGCAGTGATCACTGGCTTGACCTCTGAGGAGTGCAAGGTTCGACCAGTTCCCTTTGCACTCGTGGACTGGCGCTCGGCCCGGAGCGCTCGTGTTTGCCGCTCCACCTTGGCGGCAGAGGCATGCGCTGGCGATGAGGGCAGCGACCGCGGGAGCTACCTGAACATGTTCCTCAGCGAACTGACGCATAGGTGTCCTGCTCACCAGGCAGGTTTGAGGTTGAACTACCTCCAAGCCACAGACTCGAAGAGTCTGTATGACGCTGTGGTACAGCCCAATCCGTCACTGACGGATCGCCGCTCGTTAGTGAATGTGCGGGGCCATGCAGGAAACCCTGACCCCTTTGAACATGCTTTGGGTCCCCACATGGCTGCAGTTTTCAGACGGCCTCACGAAGGCCAGTACAGTGCTCAGAGCCACCTTCAGGAAGTGGCTGACCGCGCCGTTCGCGGCATTGACGGACCATGCAGAGCTGACAGCATGGAAGAAGGATCACGGAACCCCGAAAAAGAAAAAGACCAGTGACAATTCAGAGCAAGCATTTTGATGCATCCATGTTCGTGGTTCCAGGATCCGCGAGCCATTTGTTTCCTTCGCACTCACCTCGGTGTGCGGAAAACCGTGTTCGACCGTGCGCAGCGCATGGCCTTGTTAAGTATCTTTCTGTTCTCCTTTTGTGTTTGAATCATTGTGACTACGCAACTTCACTTCGAGGAGTTTTCGGGCAGCTTGTTGCACAGGCCTGAGGGCTAGTCAAGTTTGCCTGAGAATCTAGGAACCAAATCATTAGCGCGAGTGCTTCCTTTACGAAGCGTGAGCTATCCTGCGTCCTGGCTAGGAGCGAACTTAGCCCTTACTTATACAATCAAGTAGGCGCCTACTTAGTATACTTAATCGACACAGGCTGTTGGCGACTTGTCGTTCTTAGGGCTTTGGTGCGTGAGCCACGTAGACTTAGATGCTTTCTTCGAAGCGACTTTTACTTGAGAAGTTCCATGAATTTCTGGTCGCTCCAAAGCGCTTTCATACATAATCTTTGTTCTTTGAAGGATGACCATGGCCGAGCTTGTGGATATCTTCGAAGCTTTTGGGGAACAAGGCCTCAGTGGTTGTGACTTGGTGGCTGAGGCCCGAAGAGCAATGCCGACAGGTCTCTTAGGCATCAGCACTAGTAGAATACAAGCGGCTTGTCCTACATGGGTGTATGGGTTGGGATCTCACACGAATCTGGCACAACTTTTGCCCCTTTGTCACACTTCATTTCACTGAATCAAAGGGTGCAAACGTACCACTTCACTCCCAAATTCAACCTGACCAGTTTTATAATTGGAGTACATTTGATGCGCCTTTTTGCATTCTTGAAGCAGAGACAAATTTTGTCACATACTCATCCTGTACTGTTGGCTTGGGGGATGAAGATCCCCATCACGTCCGGATCCTTTTGACACAGGCGATTGTACACCGATACCGCGCCAATGGTGGCCGTTTGTCTCGAAGGAACACGGCCAGGGTTGGACGCTCAGTGTGGGTTCAAGGGTGGCTTCATCCTCCGTATCGGTGCTCATTATGGCTTGGCACCGATATATGATTGTATAGAATGAGAATAGTTTGAGGAAAACCTTGGTGGTGGGGCATTGTTCATTGCTTTTTCCCTATCATTGTCTGGATCAATCTTCCTTTTCTCAGATCGCACATCAACTGTGTTCTAGCGTCGAAGGACAGTAGAGTCTTGGTGAGCTAACACAAGCGGAAGCCCTTCCACCTGCAACTGCCACCGCCGCACGGCTCCTGAGACCTTGAATGTGCTGGCGCCACTCAGCTTCAATAAGTGGGATAGTCAGTCATGTATATCATATATATATAATTGTAGTATAGTCTGTCCTAAATTTTCTTTCCTATTTGTCAAAGTACAATACAATGTGCACTTGCAAGCATTTGCAGCACTGTAACGAGATTTACCTTGTCATTGTCATGGTGCTCTTTTTCTTCCTCGTGCTTTCTTCCTTGTGTGACCTTGCCTTCTTGCTTGAACGTAATTCTTTAGCTTCCCATTTGGAGTTCTGCCATGGACAGTTTCGCCCAGTGTCCGGAGCGTCCACATGTCATGTATCCCGTTATTCTTTTTGGGCCGACCTTGCTTTCACAGAATAGGACGGTGCCAAATGGTTTGTGGCTCAGTTTACCTGTTTCTAGGCTTTGAGGTTTTGTTGTTTGTTTCGGGCAACACTTGAAATGGATTGTAACACATCTAGCTGCTAACAAATTCTTTCTATTTCTGTGTCTGTTTTGTGGGGAAACACGTTGTTTTGTGCTGTAGAAGCATGGAGCGCAGTTTGACAGAATGCTGCTGGGTTTCGTGTGCTTTGCAGGCAGCTTGGCCCTCAGAAGGAGCTATTAGAGCTCTTGCTTGAGGAGCTAAATGGCTGGCAGGTGGGCACAGTGCATGTCCACATGGCACATCAAACAGTTGGGTTTCTCGGTCCTTTCCAATTTTCTCAGAACGTGGATCAGGAACATTTTCTTACAGTACATAAATCTCAAGATGCAGATCAGGGGTTTGCCTAACCCGGCCTGACCTGAAATGCCCGGAGGTGAGTGACCCTGCTGGTTCAGAGCTCCGGCCACGGCCGGCCCTCACAGCGGTATGGTCGCTATGTATTCTGGATCTGCTGCCGAGGCGGGAAGCTTTGAAAGGGAACATCGTTTCATAGAACCAAGCTTTGGAAGCGGATGCTGGTAGGTCAGCGCCGCTGTTGCTTGAGGATGGCTACAGTCGTTGATTGGTTTCTTGAGTTCTTGTGTCGAGAAGCTGTTGCCTCGCTTGGAGCCCCAGATCAGCTGAGACAGTGTGTGGAGAAAGGACTCAAGCTCCTTTCGATCAAGCTTGCAGTAAGAGGTCTAGGAGGCAATCTTCTTTTTTGCTGCATTTGTGTGGTTCCTTGCAGAGCCACAACAAGAATGCTGTGAGTTAGACTCCTTCATTTTTTCATCAAGAGCTGCTAACGCAGACAAAGAGAGATGTTTTTTTTTCTTTCTCAGTGCGTCAGGAACCATTCAATTTTTGAACCCTGAGCGCACAACATGAGGTACGCTCTTGGTACCAAAGCGCAGGCAGGCTCTCACCCCGAGTTGATGGATTAGAGACAAATTACAAGTTGCTTGCAAGTCCAAGGCTCCGTACTTTATTGTGAAGCTGTATTCCCCAAACAGTGTGGTCAGACAAGGGTTCTTCTGGTAGTAGTTGAGGCTAGATTTGATTGAGGGTGCTCACTGGCGTGCGCGGATAATTCGCTGCTATGTTCGGTCCCAATGCGAGCACACCTGTGGAAGTAAACAAATGAGAACACACATATGTGAGCGAGAGATAGAGAGGAGAGCACATGCAAAAGTAAGAGCACACCTATGAGAGGTTTACAAAGTGCTACACCTGACGCCATGCAATCTGCACTGCGAGGTTCACAAAGTGTGCCTACCACCAAATCTGCACATCGAAGTAAAACGGTTCCGATCCTGCTGAGAAAAGCATAGGAAAGTCGACTTCAGAGCCATACGATGATTCATCTCGCGCCTGCCAAAATAATGTGCATGACACCGACCACAACGACCCATACACCTGCCAGATCCATCGAGCGCTTGGTGTCAGGGATTGCCCACTGCCGGCTCCGAACAGGAGGAACTATACTGCGGCAAAGGTGCGAAAAGACCTTGGCTTCGAAGGGTAAACATGTTCACCGGCGCCCGTGTGCCAAAATGGCAAAATCTTTGAACCAAAATGGCAAGCAAGCCATTTTGGCTATTGAACTGTATTGTCCAGAAACAATACGTGCTTTCTCCACATGTTCCAAGCACGTATAACATATGGGCTTGTCTTTTTTTAAGGTGTCACGTTTATGTAGGGCTGGGATGTTCGACTTAGGCGAAGCATACCCTCTGGAAATGCTACTGCTTTAGTCTTCACACTGCGCGAAGCATACCCCGAAGCATACCCCCGAAGCATACCTCCGAAGCATACCCCATAGTCAAACATCCCGGCCCGGGAACCTTAAAAAAATACAAACCCATATTGTCCCGGCAAGAGACCCCAAACAGTGTTAAGTAGCGCCAGCGGCCCACAACTCCACCATCTGGCTACCTGGCCATGCCGCCACCTCACGCTACGCCCCGCCGTGCCTTGGGCTACAAGGCGGAGGAGAAAGGGTTGACGACCATCGTCCTTGCTCCTAGTAGCGATGCCAGGAGCCCCTAGTAGCATCCTTGCTCCTAGTAGGACGCTTCCGACGCTGCTGACTCTGTTGGTCTAGCGAGATGACGTCATCTCCAGCAAACCATGGGTTTGCCTTCAGTCAGGAAGGGCCACGCTTGCATTCCCCGATGAAGGAGCCTTCTTTTGGACTGAGCGCCGATAACTGACGGTCGGGCGCCAGGAGCCCCCCAACACCCTGTTGCGAACGACGCATGGCCCGTTCTCAGGGTGCCCAGTGTCCTTTTTTTTCAGCCTTTTGTGGACGGTAGAAACTTACCCATTTCCAGGGTCCCAGAGAGTCTGAGAGCTGGCCCTTCGTGGGTCTGACTCCCACAGAAGAAACCTACCAACCTCAAAGAAAAGTGCGAATGCTGCCTGCAGCTTGTGCTCTACACATTCTGGACTTGATGTTATACTATTATATGCATGCGGCATACAGTTATATACAGATCGCTTGCAAGTGAGACGCTGCTGGAGGCATTGCAACTCTTTGAAAGCCTTGGAGCAGTACAGTCGACACTGCCCCAGATGGCAAAGAGGCCGGGTTGATGCCATCTACTGTATGTAATTGAGATTCTGAACTTCCTCGTAAAGGTGATCATTGGAAAACCTTGATGTCATATTTTCTCAGATTTTTTGGTGATGTGAGTGGAGAGCTGCCCCTGTGACAAGGCACTTGGACAGCCTTATGGCAGGCCACTCTCCAGCAGCTGAGCAGGCAGAGGATTTGGGACACTCCGCACTCCAAAGTGTTTTTTTAGATTTTTTTCCGTACAAAGCAAACATGTCGACAAACACATGCGAGCAAAACGCGTTCTTGTTCTTTTTGTATTGTGCTCAAGGAGAATCCCACGTAAGACAGAATCTAGCATTGCTTTGTTGAAGTGTGAAGTATAACAACGTTGAAAAGGCAATTTCTGTCAAACGCATGTTCAACATCTTAAAACTGTTTATGTACTGTATATTAAAACACATTGTTTGTATTTCTTCCGATTCACAGGTGATTTTTGAGCTTGGCCACGGGCGTCGGCTTCGAAGTGTGCACGAGCTCTTGGCACTGCCTAGGAGCCCAAACGTCCCAAACGGTGAAACCAGGTAGTAACAAAGGGCATCGCTACTAGGAGCAAGGACGATGGTCACGGCACAGGGCAATATTCGTTCGCAGGCCGGTGCAATTGGAGCCGGGATCAGAGGCCACTTTGTGCCCAAATGCCTCGATGACTTTGTGTTTCACACCCAAAAGACAAAAAGAGTCTATATCGCCCCATGACGGTAATTGCCAGAGCCACTTTCAGGTCTACGCAGCCTTTTCGCGGTGCCATTCAAGATAGCCAAGCCAAAACAATCCAATTTGTACTCACTGCTCCGGATCAACTTCTTTTTGATTTTGTTTGTGTTCAAAGAGACAAGAGACAGGGAGAGGGAAGGAGACAGAGAGCATTGAACAATACAATACAACACATTGTTCCACAAGTGGCCAGGTGCCCAACATTGCACCAGAGACTTGGTCAAGTCTTCAGGCCTTTTGACAGCTGGATATGAACAACATGGTTGATTCGGTGTGATTCAAGCTGCAATGTTTCAAGGTTTCATTGAGACATACTCGGCAGTAGTTTCCCTAGCAAATTCACATCATTTCCTATTCAGGTGCATACACCCAGACTTTGTTCTACCAATGAGGACATGCGCTAGGAAGCAGGGGGTATTTTTGAGGCAAGTCCAGAGTATCCCTTTTGCCCTCATTCTCATCATTCTCTCATCTCCACAGTAGATGGTGGTTTTGAAACGGCATTGCATTATTTTAGCCCTTCTGAAGGCTACACAGCTTGGTGGGCTAAACTCTGAAAGTGCTGACGACCTTGAAGGCAAGTCTTGCTTCTTGCACGGCAATCGGACACAAAGATTCAGTTCAAGGCAACAATTTCAAGGTTGAGTGACTTTTTGTGGACCTCTAAGCATTATATAATTAATTATACCAGCATAGCATAGACTAGTCTTGCAACAGGCTGCCAAGCCATCAATGCATGCTATAAAGCAAAGTGCATCGCGGAGTTGTTTGACTGTCGCAACCACAAAAGCTTTTCTTTTTCTTGTTTGCCTGGGACCTGGGATATGTGCTTGACCGTGTTGTTGGAGGCAACCTCCCAGCTGACAATTTCCAAGGTGCCAGCGAATAGAAGGGACACCCGAGCCCCGCAAATCACGCGTGCATTGCTTGCGGCCTTGTCCTTTGACTCCGAGCATATCTTCCACTACAGGCCGTTCCTTGCTGGACGAGTTGGCCATGCAGTGGGAGATGAAGAGAAGTCAACAGGCACCTGTGATTCACAAGCGGTTTATTGCGGTCAGCGGTTAGGCGGTTGACTGCGCAACCTACACTGGTCAGAAGAGGCCAATTGCTTTGCTCTAGGCGCAAAGGCTAAAGACGTACGTAGTCAACAGCCAGTGATTTTGACTCGACTGGGTATGATGGCTCGCTTCTTCCTGATCCCACTGTACTTTATTCTGAACCAACATCCACTATCTTGGCGGAGCATGAGCTGATCTTCAGGAGCGTGCAGCAGCGAAGTGCAAAGAGTTGATTGGATTTGTCTTAGCAGCCGCGCACCCAGAGCAGACAGATCAGATTCAGTTTTCAGCAGTCACAGTCGCAGGTTTAGGTGCACATGTCTCACCCTGTGTGGTATTTTCCTATTCCTTCCAACATACATCTAACGGATCGTATGATCTAGGCGCGGGGACTTCGCACTTATACTGTAATATCACTTACGAAAGCCAGCCGATAGGCTAGGCTGGAGTTGTCGATGGGCGAACGAAGTGAGTATAGGGGGTGCGGGGTGGGGGTCGCAGGGCAGGTCCCGGCGGGCAGGGTGGACCCAGAGACTGGTGGGGGAGAGCGAAAAAACAAATAAGAACGAGCGTGAGGTAGTGACAATGTATGTTTTAGGGAGAGCCCCCTTTTTTTCGGGGGGTCTTGGTGATGTGAGTGATGCAAGTGACGCTGAATAGTGCATCATTAGCATCACGAAGTGCTCAGGAGATTATTTATATATGTTTTGTGAAATCCGCTGTTTTGCAGGTCGCATGAGCATTGGCCTCGACGTCCGCAGCCATTTGCTAGACCCGAGTGGTCCACCCGCGTGGTCCACCCTCTCCCGGCCTGACCGGCCCTTGTTCGATCGTTGTGCCATAGCCCGGGCTTCATCGCCCCGGCCGTTCGTGGAGACAGACTTTCGTCCTGGCCTGTCCGCTGGAAAAGAGAGGGAGCAGCCGCTTGTGATTCTTTTTTGTTGCAGTGCATTGCATCATTTACATTGGAAACCTCCGCACCAGTTTTCAAACTGGTAGCGGAGCCAGGTCAATCCTGGCTCCACTGTGCTACTCCGCAATGACATCTGGAACAGATCGGGCCAAGCTGCCATATTACAAGGATGATGAGATCTTAGTTGACTCAGCAGGTATTCCACATTTTTCTGGCGCAGTTCCATCGTTGTTCAAGGAGTACAGGCAGCGTGTGTTGTTTGCATTTCAAGGACTCGAAGGAGATGGCAAGACCAAGGAGGAGGAAGAGCAGGATTTAGCTCGCAAGCAACGACGCTTTGCACGTCGTCTCATTGATGGTTTGCATGGCGAAGCATGGGTTGCATGCCAAGAGTTGCTGAAAGATCCGGAAGCATTGAAGGCAACAGATGCATACAAGAAAGTGTTTGAAGCCCTCGCTGGCATTGAGAAGGAGGTGATCATTCGCAAGACAGAAGCATTTGAGAAGTTTTTCGATCGCAGCCATCGTCGTCGAGGTCAGGACATCTACACCTACATCAGAGAGAAGCGACAGTGTTGGCGTGACTTGAAGGATTTGGACGATGCTTCAAACATGTCGGAAGATCTGCAGGCCTATTTTCTGTTGCGTGGAGCCAACCTCAGTCGTGAAGACCGTCCTGCAATCTTGTTGGCCAATCGTTCAGCCTACGCCCAAGAAGGCATTGAGCAAGCTCTCAAGATCTCCTACCATGATTTGCATGAACGAGAGAAAGCTCGTGGTGGCTATGATGAGAGTCGCTATGTTCGCCGTAAAGGCAAAGGCAAGGGCAAGCGGCAGTACAGCCATTGGGTTGAGGATGAACCGGATTCCGTAGAGCAAGATTGGTTGGATGAGTTGACAGAGGCTGATCCGGACACCGTTACAGAGTATGCAGCAGAAGCCCACGATGAGACCGAGTGGGAGCCTGAGGAGCCTTCATCAGACATCGGTGCATCAGGAGACGATGAGATCTTTCAGGCCTATGCTGCCATGGATCGCCAGAGAAAAGGCTATCAGGAGCAACGTCAGAAGCTCAAGAACTTGCAGAAGAGCAGAGGCTTTTTCGAAGGTGAGTTCACGTGGGAAGAGCGCCAGAAAGCCATCAGTCGTGAGAAAGAGCGCTCACGATGCAGTGCCTGTGGCCGCATTGGCCATTGGGCAGGTGATCCAGAGTGTGGAAAGACCGGAGGAGACTCAGCAAAGAAGAAGGGCAAATCTCGTGGCAAGGGCAAGCAGAAGAAGGGTTCAGCAAACGTTGTCAGTGAGATGCCTTTCCCCAGTTATTTCACGCTCGGTGAAGGAGATGAAGACCTCGGTTTCGTCTGCATGACCCATGATGAGGATGAGATGCCCATTGATGCAGGAGACCCCGACGGCCGCCGCCATCGCATTCGTGAGCGTGACCGTCAGATTGCTGAGAGTGTGGTGAGCTTTCCAGATGGTCCACCAGAACCAGATCATGGCTATGCCCCCGAGCGAGTTGTCATTTGTGGCGTGCCATACCAGTCGGTTGAGGCAAGCACAGAGCAGACCATCCAGACCCTTCGTGAGCTTGGCATGGATGTTGAGCGTGTTTCCATCACCGAGGAGGAGCAGACCCTTACATTGTATGACAAGCGTGTGACTCAGTTGCAGGAGTTGTGCATTGGCTTCAACATTGCGCATTCGGGTTTGAAGAAGAATGAACTGATTGAGCGTTTGTCGAAGTTCTTCGGTGGTCACCCAGTGCCAATGCGTGGAGGATCCGGAAAGAAGTTCATTGTGAAGGAGCTCAAGGAAGGTGACCAAGGCATCATCATCACGCCGAAAGCCAAGCCAACGGCGAAGCCAGCCGCCAAGAGCAGTCCGGCGCCCACCTTGCCGGAGCATGCGCCTTTCATCGGACCTCGTGGAAGGTACACACAAGATGAGCTCTTCCAGGAGGACGTGCCAATTTGGCACATGAAGTGTGAGATTTGCCAGGCGGCCATGATCGGCAAGAGCAATCGCGAAGATGGTGGCAAGTTCTATGCATGCAGTCGGTACCCGATCACCGGTTGCAGGTTCACCATGAACTATCGTGATGGCATGATTCGCTTTCTTGAGTCGTTGGCAAGAGTGCAGGGCTTGGCAGCAGCCGGTGCAGGGCCTTCATCAGGCTCGGCGTCGGGTTCCTTTCGCTGAGGAGCATGTGGAGGAGGATCGAGCCTACATGGTTCGATCAGAGCTGCAAGAGAATTCAAGAACCTTGAGTGCAGAATTCGTTGATGGTGATGAGAATTTAGCTGACCCGTCTCTTTTGGCTTTACCGGAGGAGTTGGAGCGTGCTTACCATCAGATTGGAGAAGGAGCCGACGCCAACGAGGCCAAACTAGCTCTCATTGATACAGCTTGTACGGCTTGCACGCATTCTACATGTTGGCGCAGAGCATTTGAACAGTTCCTTCCACCTGGACTTCGTTGCGAACCGACGGAGATGCGCAAGCAGTTCCATTTTGCAAACGGGTCAAGCACACAAAACAGCGTGACAGTATGGAAAATTCCATTGTGTCTAGGCGGACGCTTGGGCACTGTTTTCTCTGCTGAAATTCCAGAAGGGAACACTCCATTGCTTTTATCCATGTCAGCCCTGGATTCTTTGGACGCAGTCATTTTCATGAGACAAAGGAAGATTCGTTTGCAAGAGCTGGGTGTTGAAGCGCCCTTGGTACACACAAGGACGAAGCACAGAGCGATTGAGGTGAGCTTTGACAATTTGTTTGATCCTGGCGAAGACACAGAGAAGCGAGCACCGATCTTGAAATCGGAGGCGGAAGATTTAGCAGTCTATTTTGCAGAGGAAGCTGAAGAGAGCATCTTACAAGATACCACACCTTTGTTACAGCTTGACAGCTTGGAAGAGGCATTTATGGTCAAACTTCCAGACCTGACGGCTCGTGGTGTGAGAAGAGAAGATGCTAGAAAACAGTTGCACGCTGCTAGATTTGAAGCCTTGCAACGGTCGGCCGTGTCGCAACGTGTTTTGGATCATCGCATGTGGATAGCATTGAAGCACAATGACAACAAAGCAGAAGACATGGCAACAAACGGCTTTAGTTGGACTATGATCTTTGAACCATGGTGTGGTACATTCCCAGTGACAAGACTAGCTGCAGCAACAAGAGGTTGGACCAACAGTCAGCCGCTTGATTTGTTGGATGGCTACGAAATGTTGAGCAGTCGTGGCAAAGCTTTACTTGATAACACACTGGAGCAACACAATCCATACTTGGTTTTGATCGCTTTCGATTGTCGTTTGTGGAGCACATTTACAAACCTCAACAGACACATTGATTGGGAAGCTTTGCGCAAAACAATAGGCAGAATGACCCTCAAGCTGGTCGTGAAGATTTGCAAAAGGCAAGTGCGAGAAGGGAGATACTATTTGATAGAAAACCCTGGTGGAGCATATAGCTGGATCTTTGAAGGAATTTTGATGACACTTGTTCAAGAGGGCATTGGCAAATTCATACAGAGTGATCACTGCCGTTACGGGAAAGTTGACCGCATGTCAGGAAAACCAGTCAAGAAGCGGACAGGTTGGCTTTCGAACAATGAGTTCATCTTGAACCAGCTTGGACTTCAATGTGAATGTCCGCCGGGAGCTCATGAGGAGATCATCGGACACCGCAGATCAAAAGAAGCAGCAGTCTACCCTAGACAGCTTTGCGAGGCAATCTTGAAAGGAGTTGAGCAGAGCATTGTCAATGCCCCGCTATTTTACAATCTGCTTTTCCAGTGCATGTTGTCGATGACGATGAGGTTGTTGACGTGTCTTCAGGGGAGGAGCCACCGCAACCGCGTGCGCCTGGAATGTCTGAGAAGATCCGTCGTGAGATGGAAGAGTTTGAGGCGAGTTTGCCTCCACCACCAATGCCAAGAACAGAGTTGCCAGCAGAGGATGAGCCGGAAACACCTTTTCCAGTTGACCCTTCAGGTGATAGAGATGTAGCAGTTCCTGAAGCAGAACCTGTACCACCATCCCGTGCAACAGCAGCACCGATGACACCTAGCAATGTTTTGAGACGCAGGCCTAGGACTCAGGAGGTTCGCAGAGGTGCATGGAGCAAGTTGCATGGAGCAGATGTTCTGTTGACATTGCGTGAACCTTTACGCTGGAGTGTTGACAATGGTGCAGTGAATTGGTCTGTTTTGGAAGATCAAGAGCAGCTTGCAAAACGCTTGAAGGACATGGAGGTGGCGCAAACAGACGCGAACCTTATCCTTGTTTCACGTGTCGCACGTCGTATGAAGAAGCCGCAACCTTGGTTAGGCCCACT